GCTCATGCGCGTGGGAAAGTTCATTTGAGTTCTTATTCTTGTTCTTGAAAACAAGACATATCGGCTTGACATGAATGATCTCGGCCGAAGAGTTCTTACGCCGAGGTACTAGAAGACAATACAGATATAGGTTCCATCACCTCAAAATGCCGAGGTAATAGAACCTAGGGGGCAGTTGTGGGGATGTATTTTCTGAATACTAACACGTGGCAAGGTGACGCCGACGTGTCAGCCGAGGTACCACGTGTCCTGGTTGTGACGCCGAGGTTATCTTGGCGAGGCCGAGGTTATCTCCGAAGATATCGGAATCTGAGATAAGCGGATAATGGATAAGGGGCAAGAGTCCTAGAGAAAGAGAAGACTTAGCCAAGATAAGGATAAAACTCTTTGGGAGTTTAAAGAGTCCAAAGTCAGTATTGAATTGGAGTCCATAGAAGTTAGACTTCTAGTGGGACTAGGATTGAGTAAACTATAAAAGAGAGGCACCCCCGTGGGTCTAAGGTACGCAGTTTTATGCTTTGAATAGTGAGTTCAGCACTTGATTATCTTTGAGAGATATACTGACTTGATCGTCGGAGTGCCCCCGGGTGGAAGAGCCACCGCCGGAGCCTTTTCTTTCTGTTATAGGTTTGCTGAAGCTATCTATTCTGCCGGTACTCTCCAGCTGATTACTAGGCGGGCAGTGTGGTCGGAAAATCACCCACACAGTATATATATATTCAGCAAATTTAAACCCTACCAATCAAAAAGCAAAAAATAAAACCCAAAACATACAACAAAAGGCAAACCAAAAACAGAGATACCCAGTTGAGAATTTCGAGCACATTGTCTTCATCGACAATCAATTTGAACAATAGATTCTAGGTATTATTGCTCAAATCAAGAAGAAGAAAAAAAACATATGGATTTGAGAAGTAAAAAGGAAAAAAAACAAGGTTGATTAACCAACTATCTACTCATCATACGTATTCAAAAATTATGAACAAGAGCTCAAATTAAACACTGAAGCCAAAGTACTTGAGGGTTAATAATTGATATATGACCAGGTAAAGAACAATTACTCCAAATTGTGATAAACTCATATGACATTATCAACAAAAAATCATAATTTGAATGAAAATCACAAAAAAATTGAAATTAAATTAATATGGGTAATTCAAGTTCCATGAGAATATCGGTTTAAAAGCTAAAGAGAAACAAAATTTGAGAGAGCAGAGCAAATACCAAGGAGGGGGACGAGAAGCATTGGCCTAAGAAGGAATTTGAGAAGAGAGAAATAGAAGTGAAGGAGCTTGGAAGAACAGCCATTGCGGCCATTGTTGCTGTGACTCTCGAAGATTGCTACTTCCCCAATGAAGGAGCACATTCTCTCTCCACCCCATCTCTCTACGATCTTAAACTCATCAAACCCATCAATAAAATCTTCTCTCTCTCTTTTTTTTTTTTTTTTTTTTTTTGTTAGGCTTCTATAACATATTTTATTTGAATTTAAGCCAAGAGTAACATAATCGACAATACAATCAATGGCTTCGAAGATCGAAGACTCTCCAAACCCTCAATCTCTCATTTCACACCCACTTTCTTCTCAATACCCTTCAGCGATAGTGTTGTTGAGATTTTGGAGAAGTTTGGAGAGGATGCTAGGGGTGAGAGACTCTATTGTTGCGGTTGAAACAGGGCGGCACCACCACGTAGCTGTATGGGGTACTGGACACGGTGTTGCGACCGCTGAAAGAGAGAGAGGAGCGAAAGAGACTAGGATAGGACTTGGCTGGGATTGAGAATGAATTAGGGATTTCAGATACACAACCAAGAAGAAAAGAGAAGAGAAGCATGAGACGATGATAGATACCTTTGATTTCGGATACACAACCATAGAGAGTAGATGAGATGATCTTGGTAACCCTAGCAATTGATTCAGCCTTCATCATCATCAGAGAGAGAGATTGAAACATGTTCCATTCTGATTAGAGGAAGGCAAAATAGTTATTTTTTGGTGATTGGCGCCTCAAATTTCATTTTGGCCTTTTTTTTTTTTTTAAACATATAATTCACGACATGCATTGCGCGTCGTAAAAAGGCAATACTTTTAACGACAGGTGATGTGTGCGTCGTAAAAAGTGTAATATTTTTAATGGCGGGCGTTGTGTACGCCGTGAAAAGTATTCCTTTTCACGGCTGACGTATGTGCGTCGTGTTCGGGATAGGAAATGACCCTTAGTCTTTAGTATTTCATCCCATGGTGCACTTCATCATAACATTGGTTTGTAGAAGTAAAAACTAATTACAGACACTTCATTTTCAAAAAAATTAATTCCAGACAAATGATAGCTTATCTTATGGTTTTTGTCATAAGAAGAAATCTTACGTTGTCTAAATCGGGGAGCTCCTGAAGCTTATTCTTGAGCATGGGAATCCCGCTCTCAAAGCATGGTAAAACATTGTCGCCAAAGTAGAATCGCTCCTGAAATAGAAGAAAACAAGGAAACAATCCCATATCAGTTGAGGATAACATGGAAAAGGCTATTAAATCAGTGATACCAGTATTCAGCACCAACCTACAATGCATGGATATCAAAAATCACCAACTAGTGGGCCCTCCCCTTGAAATCGGTATCTACCGACAACAGTTCCTATAATAGTTGCAACAAAGGACCTTGCCAAGAAAAAATTTAAAATGTCGCTAGTAAATATATTCTAAAAGAATAATTAATTTTGTGCTAGAAGGTTTAATTTTTTTAGATGAAAACTTTGATCCCAAAATGAGAAAATAATTTGTTATTAAATGTCTAATTGTATTGCAAAAATTTTAACAATGATAGTTTTGATAGCCAAGATATTCTCAGGTCCCAAAATTTGCCGAGATATGTACAAAATGACTTGGAAACACAGTTGTAAAATAAAAAAATAAAAAATAAAAAATACAGGTCATTGCCTGCTTTATTCATAGGCCTACAAATGAACAGAGTCATTCGTGAACAAACTCGAGCTCAGTTTGGTAAGAGCTTGTTCGAATTCAGTTCGTTAAAAATTTTTTGTGTTTGAGTTCGAGTTTGTTAAAATTTTAATAAACAAACTCAAACATACTAAAGCTCAACTCGGAAATTCGACTCGTTAGCTGACTCATTTAATATTTATTATTTATATATTAAATAATATAAAAGTATATATAAAAAATAAGATAAATTTGTTATTTATATATTTAAAAAATATAAATGTAAATAATAGCTAAATATAGACAATATATTTATATAATAGTGGCGGTAGATATTATTATTTTGGTAAAATATTTTTTTTAGTATGTTTATATATATTGTATATATAATTGTATAATGAAAGTTTCAATTGTCACTTTAGTTTCATACACAAGTATGAATTTATAATTTTTTTTTTTGTCTTGTTAAAACTCGTGAACATGCTTGAGTTTGAGTGAAGTATAAGCCAGCTTGGCTCGAGCTCAATTCGTTAAATTTTTATTGAGCTCAAATTTGAGTTTGAACTTGTTAAAAGCTTAATAAACAACCCAAACATACTAAAATTCAGCTCGGCTCGTTTGCAGCCCTATTTACAATAATATCGCATTAAAAACAAAAAACAAAAAATTACTAAATTGATATTGTAGACATCATAACATTTAGACTCATATTATTTGTTGTAAATTATTTTCATTAAAAATAGTTTTTGCATTTTGTGATATTTGACCACATAATATGTTAATAAAATAATTTTTAACAAATTATTTTATATTGGATCATGTAAAATAATTTACAAAATTTTATTTAGTAAGTCATTTTATAAGATACTACATTATGTTTTGATTTATTTGAAAATATTTTCTAACAAATATTCTCATCTCATAATGTTTTTGTCATGGTTAAACTTTTCTATGACATTTAAAATGTTCTGAATTAAAAAAGAAAATACAATGATTGCAATCAAACAAATTAATATATTTACACTAAAATAAATTTAGTTTATAAAATCTATCTTTAAATCACTATGATTTATTTTATTAATTTTAATTTGAGATAATAAAAAAGGTTTTGATAAGTTTTTCTTTTTTGACAAGTATTTTATTTTTATTTTTTTTATTTATAAATATTGAAAGTAATTCTATACTTTGACTGCATAATTATTTGGTATATACATTTGTCGGGGCCGAATAAATGTGCGCTCAGAAGAGATTCAAACAGGACGCCGAGAATGCTGGTGAGGCTAACTTGGCATGGCTACACTAAAATAAATTTAGTTTATAAAATCTATCTTAAAATCACTATGATTTATTTTATTAATTTTAATTTGAGATAATAAAAAAGGTGTTGATAAGTTTTTCTTTTTTGACAAGTATTTTTTTTATTTATAAATATTGAAAGTAATTCTATACTTTGACTGCATAATTATTTGGTATATACATTTGTCGGGGCCGAATAAATGTGCGCTCAGAAGAGATTCAAACAGGACGCCGAGAATGCTGGTGAGGCTAACTTGGCATGGCCAAACCCATTTGAACAAGAGCAAGGCCAAGTAGAATCCAGCCCGCAGGCTGAGTATGCCGAAAAGCTTCTAACGTACCTGGGGGTCCCAGATATGATGGCGAAAGGTGATGATGAGAAGGTGGGCCCTTGGAGAACAATATAAAAAGGAGAAGCGTCAGTCAAAGAGAGGTATGTGAGAATACACAAGATAACTTGAGATAGAAGTAAAGTAGAGGATACTGACTTGTCCGTCGGAATGTTAATTCTGGCACCCCCGATCGGAGTGTTCATCCCTTTTTCAGGTAGCAATCAGAGGATCAAGAGCATCTAACTGGATCCAAGAGTATTTCCAAACCATTTTATCACAGTTGGTGTCGTTTGTGGGAATACTCAAGTACGTCCATGGCAGGCGTGAGAGATGATCCTTTGATAGTTGCTAACAATATTACACTAAGAGATGACATTACTTCAAGAAACATGCTTGGAGAGGAGAATATCACTGTACGACGGGCCCTGAACTTTGACCCAGTAGCTCAAACGTCACTCTCAACTTCTGTGCAGGAGACTGTGCAGACGATCATGGATCAAGCAAAATGAAACGAACAGCATCTAGAAGATATGATGGCTAAGAACGAGCACTTACGTAAGGAATTGGCTCTGGAGTTAGCCAAATCCCAACAGGCCGCAAATGGTTAAAAACATCCATACCAATCTCCTCAGTAAGATCATCCCATTTGAATTTACTCAAGTACTTGATATTCCAAAGATCATAAAAGAACGCTGACCTTTTCCTCCCACCTAAACATGAAAAAAATAATAATAAAAAAATTTGAAACCCAAAAAAAAAAAAAAAAAAAACTTCATTCCATAACGAATAATGTACTTGCTACAAGCCTACAATCACTTCGCATGTTTAACCCCAAAAAATGTTATCAAGCTCACAAAATAAAGGACACAAGGCACCAAAAAACATGAGCCAACACAGAATCAATTTTAGACCCTAAGCATAGCCCACTTTGCCTGTTTCACTTAATAAAGTAGCTAGAAATTCATCATAAGTATAAAATCCAGGAAAAAAATAAGCTAATTAAGCTCGGATGAAAAAATAATCTACAATATACCTATTTGTTCACCATTTAACATCTTTGCAACCCTCTTGGAAATACTTCTTTTAGAAAATTCAACCCACCTGTACACACCATGTAGAGACCCTAATTTTTGTAATTACCATTAAATCCCTAACCTTGAGTTTATTTCAATAAAGTCCTTGAATTTTCGCTTAATTGCATTTTAAACCCTAGAATCGGGAAGCATCGCGGATTAATTCGAGTAAACCCTAATCAATCCCGTAGATTAATAATCACCTTTAAAACAATATTATTAGTTATTAGACCCTATCATTATATATTAATCACTCTCAAATTTTAATTCCCGGTAATGCCGTTTTTGCTCGGTTTCTCGCATTTGTTTGCGCTTTAATTTAACGGGACCCGAATTTATTATTTTAACTATTTTCTAATGTTAGTATATTAATAACATACATCAAGGTTTCATAAATTTAGACTTGATCCCTATAGACTTTTATTTTATTTCATTCCAACCCTTAATTGTAATATTTTATTAATTAATGTACTTGTGACTATTATATTATGTTTATAAATAAAAACATCATATATATATATATATATATATGTCTTGGAGCCCAAGTTGTTGACCATGTGATGGATGAAAAGGGCCATAATGGCAACTTTGACAATTTGCACTTATAAAACTTGGTCCCTAAGAAACCTTCCCAATCTTTTCTCTCTCTCTCTCTCTATATATATATATCTATGCACACTTCTCCCCCCTCATTATATAGATTTTCAGCCATTCACTAGAGGAGTGAGAGAGAGTGACCTTGGAAAAAAAAAGAGAGAGGGAGAGAGTGAGAGAGAAGAGGAGAAGAAAAGGAAGAATAGTGTTAGTCTTGTACAACAAAGATAAACATACAACATCTCTTCTCTCAAGTTCTCTTACCACTTGTTTTTCCCCTCCTAATACATGCTATTTGTATATATTTGTTGTATTCTAGGCCTACACTCTTGTATAAAGGTGTATTAATCAAGAAATGGTGTGCTTCTCTTTCTTTCTTAATTTTCCAGCAGCAAATCTTTTCCCTCTCTTGAATTTATTTTCCTATCAAAACTCCATGAACTCAAAATCTGTTTTTATGGTACAATATTTGGTATGTCTAGAGTATGTGGTAATTTTTGTAGGTCCTAAGGATGCGTTTTTATAATCTAAACAATTTTTCTAAGTTTGTTACTCACAGAACCAGAAAAACAGTCAACTTTATTTATTTTTCGAAAATTTCAAAAAAATAATCTTGAGCCCAATTTTATGTCAAAATCTTAATCTTGGTGTTATATTTTAACTAAAATTTGTTTGAACTCAAGAGAGTGAGGGGTTTGAGAGAAAAACTGATTTGCATAACGATCAACGAACCTGGACAGATCTTGGTAATTTTGAATTATCTTAAAATATAAAATACCTATCCTACTTTCGTAAATTGAGTTTGAAACTAGACTTGTTTATCTACAAACTCACATGAGGCCAGGTCTTTAGGGCCAATAAAACTATTTTTTGCATAGTTATTTTCGAACTGGTTCAAATCTGGAAATCTGTGAGTCAGAATTGCCCGTAGCTAGAGTTAGTGGTTGGGTAGGAACGACATTCCGCGAGGAATTGCCTAGAACTAACTAAAATTGACTATTATTCATGAGAACTGAAATTTAATTATAATCTCTGCTTGATTATTACTTTCGTTGTATGTTATGACCATGCCGTTATGTTAATTGTGTATTTGGAATGGGAAAAGGGTTGGGGTGTGTGTGTTTACTGGGCATTCCAAGCTCATGGCGTTTTATGCCAGGTGAAGGCGAGTTTTACACTGAGAGCAGAATCCCTAAAAGCTTTGAGGACCCATGGCTGTGTATTTCCTGTATTTTGGATAATCTTTTTGTATCAAGAAACCGATCTGTATTTAAAGACTTGAAGAATTTTATCTGTAACTATTACTAATATTTTCTTTTAGTACAATTATTTGTATTTTGTGCTTAAAAATGATGTGGATCCACTAGTTAAGCCCCGTTGTATCGTTGTATTATGTTATCAAAATTTGAGGCGTCACACACCAAAGGCTATTATATGATTGTACATTCGTAATAACTATGCGCCACATTGATATAAAACTAGAACAAAAAAAGTAAAGACAATGCCAAAATATTTCTCCTTTTGGAGAAAAACACTTCACAAATAATCTTTTGGGGAGGTCAATGTATTGATTGTATGTTCGAAGATACTATATGCTCTATGAAACTAAGTAAACTGGATCTGTTCGGCATATAGCATTAAGCCATTAAGAAAGTTAATCACATACCCTTCCGAAAATTCTATTCCTTGAAATCCACCAGCTCGTTTACGATGCACCTGAGCCACAAGATCTGTACATAAACCAATGTGAGGAGTTGAGTACTTCAATTGTTAAAGTACAAGCAAGATAGCTACATGATATTGTATGACTTCAAATCTAAAATAAAAGTTGTACAACAAAGACACATGAACAATTAAATGCTTGATGATCTCTTGCAAAGTTTGCATCATTTGGTTTTTTCAAAAAAAAGGTACTTGTGTGAACCTTCGGGTGTAAGGTAAATTCTTTGAATTTCTCCATACTAAGAGAGAATCTGTCATAGCTTCAAAGGATCCATGTGTGGAGGAATCCGACTTAAGTAGCAAACCCCGCGTTTGTCAGCCGTTGCAGCTTCCTTTGATAACTATCTCTTCCTTTTCTTCTTCCTATTTTCTGTCCTTTCATCGCTGGATTTCGGGTTTGCTTCCTCTAGCAGAGTGGTTTTATTTGCCTCTTGTTCTACCTCAAGCATTCTAATTTGATACAAACAACCTGAGTAAAACAAACAACTGCACTAAGCCCTTTTGAAAAACCACAAAATGATGCCTCTAACAATTCAAGGATACTAACCTTTAAAAGTATCAAATAACTACACTGTAAAATGTACAAATTCATATATTAACATAAACGAGATGCCAATTACAGAAACATCTAGAATTTTACGTAGGCCAAGCAAGCATTCACAGAACCCAAAGAAAAAAAGAGAAAAAAAAAAAAGTTTTCTTTTGAAGCATATAGCTCAAAAGCTAAATAAAAACTGAGAAACAAAACCAAAATAATTTTATAAAGCCAGTATCAACCCAAGTACATATGGAAATAAAATTCAAAGACAAACATATGAACCCATTTAAATTACATGTTTCCTTTCAAAAAGCCGAATCAAGAAAGTGGATTGATCTAGCCAACCCCACATAATTGTTGTTACAATCTGGGGAGTTGAGATGAGTTTATTTGGAAATGTCTAATAGTTTTTAATGATGTTATAAATATATCTCAATTAACAATTCAGGTAATTTTATTATTGTGTAAAAAGGTAGTTAAGATTTTTTTTTTGTTAAATAAAAAATTAATAATTTCTAAAATCACAGGAGAAATTTTGTATTTTAAATAAATTTCAGGAGGTATATTTATAATTTACCTAAAGATTTAAGAAGCCAAAATTAATACAAATAGTGTGAAGACATAAAAGTAAATAAAGTAAAATATATATTTCAATGTATAAAAGATAACAAAATCTATTTTTTATTTATTTGACTAATGAATTACTAATGAAAAAGAGCTCAATATTATGTAAATTTAAACTTTATGGGAGTTCAATGTAATTATTTCAAAAATGTGAAACTTATTATATGCCAAAGAGATCTAGTTTATTTAGTTTCATAGAGCGTATAGTATCTTTGAACATACAATCAATACATTGACCTCCCCAAAAGATTATTTGTGAAGTTCAGCCTAGGATTGGTTTTGTGCGGTTTGCGGTTCGATTTTGACCCGCTCGCACCTCTGCGGTTTGGGAAAAAGTCAAACCACAACCCCCCGCAATGCGGATAAGGTTTGCGGATGTGCCGGCGGTTTGAATTTTTCCCTTTAAAAATTAATTTTTGAATTTTTTCCACCATTTTATAAATATTTATTTTGGGTCATTTTCTTCTAATTTTCTAAAATGCTTCAACATTAATAATTAAATCATTAACTTACAAATCATTCAAAATCAATTTTCTAAAATGCTTCAAAATCAATTCCTAACACAAACAAATCATTTAAAATCCTAAAATCATTCAAAATCATTCAAAATCCTAAAATCATTCAAAATTAATCTACTACTCAACAATACAATTAAAGTAAATTATCAATCTCATTCTTCAACTACTTTAAAAATGAATAGATTTAATTCCAATCACAGATTTAATTCCAATCACCATTGAAACAAATCTTAGTCACACAAACAGAATCTTAGTCACACAAGAACAGATTTAATCTCAATCTCAAAGATCTGCTGCTACAAAAAAAGAAAAAAATTTCTGATTGCATAAACACTAAACAAATCTGGCTGCCTAACATAATTTACATTTCAAAAAAATCTGATTACATAATTTACATTACAAATTCCATTACGAAATTTACATTATCTGATTACATAATTTACGTTAAAAAAAAAATCTGATTGCATAAACAGATCTAATTACAAATTCAACATAATTAATAATTACAGATTCAACATAATTTAAATAATTACAGATTCAACAAATTGAATAACACATTGAATAACAGAATGAATAACATATCTAATTACAAATACAATAACATATATAATTAATAATTAATAATTACAAAGTCAACATAATTAATAATTAATGATTAATAACAGATTGAATAACAGATTCGAACACATATCGCACAAATTGAATAACAGATTTAACACAGATTAACATAGATTTAACAGATTTAACAAATAAACAAATTAAAAAAAAACATCTGATTGCATACACATCTGATTGCATAAAAACATCTGATTTAACACAGATTTAATACAAATTTAATAGATTTAACACAGATCTATTGCTTACACATCTGATTGCATAAAAAAAAATTAAAAAAAAAAATAAAAATAAAAGAGATCGGGGAGAGAAACAGATAGACGGATCTGAAGAGCAGAGCAGAGTCTTACCTGTGAATTGCAGAGCAGAGTCGATCTTGCGAAGCACCAGAGAGTGAGATTCGAAGTGAAGCTGCGCACAGAGTTGCGATGAGAAAACAGAGATCGATTGGTGCGATGAGAAATCAGAGGTCGATTGGTGCGATGACAAACTAGAGGTCGATCGGTGCGATGAGAAAGCAAAGTTGAAAGCAGAGTCGCGATCGGTGCGATGAGAGAGAGAGAGAGAGAGAGAGAGAGAGAGAGAGATTGACTAATATGAGATGAGAGAAAAGGAGCTCTCTCCAACTGCGCAAATGTAATGTGTTTGATTGTGGCGAAATTATTCAATACTCCTATAGCACCAGATGTCCATACTCCAAACTAATCACCAATTAGTTACCCCCATGTTGTCTCTTTATTTCCAATATAAATCGTGGGCCCTTGTGTCTCCCTACCAATCAAAACCTTATGGAGCACCATGTGTCCATACTCCGGGAGTACTGAATAATCACCTTGATTGTGAGAGATGAGGGTTTTTTTTTTTTTACTTTTGTTTGTTTTACTAAAGATGAAGATCTGTAACAAAAAAAAAGAGACGAAGATCAACGGTCCAGATTTTACATATAAAATAATTTTTTTAAAAAAAAAATTCTGTTTAAGCGGGCGGGTTGGACGGGTTCGGTTCAAACCCGCAACCCGCCTGCAACTCAAAATTCAGCCATAATCCAAACCGCATCTGACCCTAACATGTTTGCGAAACTGCCCAAAGGTCTGCAGGTCGGGTAGGGTAGGGTAGGACGGGTTGGGCGGGTCGGATAACCCTATGCCCACCTCTAGATTTGAGTAATATTAATCATCAATTAATAAAAGACTAATATTTCATTTTGGACCTACTGAGGGGCTAATTTGATAACAATAAAGATTAAAAATCTTAAATTTGCAGTTTTGATATAGTGAATTTTTACATTTTCCTTTTTCAAATATATATTAGTCAAAAATAAAATTAAAAAGTACAACTATGAGCAATTATTTTAAGGCTAGTTGGGCTTAGACGTGAGAAAAATTCATCTATTTGTCTTAATAATATTTTTTCAAATTTGATTCAAAAATTTAAGGATAATATTATGCAAAAACCTTTTCCTAACATGATTCATACGACATCTGGACCAAAGATGGATAAATTTGGATCTATTGAGAATTCTGACTCATAATAAGACATCATCTCTGAAAAAATCAAGATTAAACTAATACAAAAATCTATCATGCAATTAATTATTTGAGTAATACATTGTTCAAAGCAGCAATAACAAAGGGTACAACTGAAAAAGAATTGATGGGTCATGCCATCAGACAACTTTCTTTCCAACTATGATTGTCCACGGCCAGGTCCCGATCCTATTTTTTGGCAAAAATTGTTGTAAGTTCGGGTGACTATGATCATTCGTTGATCGTCTTCAGGTATATCATGCTCCTAGAAAGAAAGAGAGAGAAAAAAATACCGATGATGTAAAGACAAATGGACAAATCAGTCAATAATCGAGATGTCAACTTAAGGACAAACTTTCCATAATGTACAATTTGATTTAAGAATTTCGCCACATTCCTAAGAGGCAGAGCATAGACTTTGTTAAATCATATTCAGAGTTTCAAAGACAAATAAATGTGTGTTCCTCCTATTTAGAGTTCAATTCATGTTGCTTGTGCACAAAATGCATCTAAGGCACAAAATTCTTGTTCAAATAACTACAGTGAAGCAAGGTCAGGAATAATAAATCACTTTATGATATACACATCTATTTTGCACGTTCGTTAAAATTCGATTAGTTCCTACAAAGGATTGGGCTAATGACGTAACATAAACATGAATTCTCGATGTAGATGCTACATAGTTATTCTCATCCTCCAGAGACTACAAGTGTGCACCTCATGGAATGTTAGGTCTATGACTGGCCTTCATGCAAAAGAATAGGTTTAGTTTCTCCCTCTATGATGGATTTCAAAATAAAAAATCCATCCTTGATTGCCACCGAGAAATAAGCACCCAATTTCTAAGTTGTCTAAAAAGATTTCTGGTGATTATATCTCATTTCCCAAATAGCATCTCCAGCTTTAGTTTCCTAGGCTTGACAAGGGTTCTAACTTAATGCTCATCTTTGCCCTATTGTGTGCTCCTCATGCACAACTAAAAAAAATGTTAATTCTATGATGAAATACTAAATAAAGTTCTCAACCTTATCCAAATCCCTATTCAGACATGTTTAATGATAATGATTTTCCGGAAAGATCCCCACTCTGTGGATACGGAAGCATTTGGCTAAATTGAAAATCTTGTGAACGATGTTTTCTTTTCCGGTATATTACAAATTGAAAATTTACAAGATTAAAATAAAATAAGTTTATTAATAAGGCAAGGAGACTCACTTTTAAGCCATTGTAGTATGCTTCAACAGCAGGGGGTGAAGGGATAATTTTACGAGCTTGCATCAGGTCCTATACGTAATTGGCCATGGTATATCCACCAGTCTACAACAAATATGTAAATCTCAAATAAACTGACCAACCTATTAGGGATAATAAAAACAAGTTTGAATACATAGCACTGCAAGAAATTAATGTTTTTTCTTTTGAAAAACTACCTTTTCACCGGCAGCTACAAGCAGGAGATCATTTCCCATTTTGGGGCTAAAAAAAAAGTCCCTCGAGGTCATATTTTCCTGGAGAAGGCAGGGGTATCATATCATGAGTGTAGATCAAAAAAATAATCAAAATATTGAGTAGTTCATACCAAATCAATAGCAAACCCAAACTTACCAGCGTCTCAAGAGCAAGTTGCATTCCCTTGGGAATATACCCCACCATTGCACCCTATGCGAGAGTCTGCAGCCATGTAAGTTAAAGTCCACAACCAAATCTTGTTTTTATGAAGTGTTGAAGTCCAAATAACAACAATAAAAAAACATAGCTTACAGAGTAATAAAATAAGTAAAAATGAATTTGAGGAACACAACACAAGCGGTTAGCAAGACATTTTAAAGGGTAACTAATAATTTCTATTTACAGGCACTTACAGATTGGTAGTGGTTCCAGGTACATGCATATCTAGCCAATGTACTGAGCTTATTAAACAACAAAAGTAAGTTCGTTCTAAAGGCAGGAAAGGTTTAGGGAGACCCTTCTGTAATTTTAAAAACCAAATCTGATTTGTAAACAAGCTTCGATGATGGCTCCTATGGAAAAGCAATACGATAGCACATTCAGCCTCTGTGAAAGAGGTGCATTGATAATCCTCAAATTGCACAAACACAAGGCAATGACAATTAATTATGAGTTGGCATATCAGATAATATAGAACTCACCACATATAGTTCCACCATAGCTTGCTTCCCTGACTAATTTCATGTATTCTTCAAAAATTTTCTGGGCACGTTCAATATCTCCAGAATGTAGATAACACCTGTGGAAAATGGCAGTTGACACTCATGAGGTTCAGTATTCTTCCGGTGAATGATCATATTACTCACAGGAAAATATAGAAAACTTTCACAGAGGAAGTATAGAACAAAAGCACTAGATAGAGCACACAACATAGGTTCACAAATAACATTGGCAACCGAACTACGCTTGAAAACAAGCAAGCATAAAAGATACATATTAATCAAAATGCTGAAAATAATGATTAACAATATGTACCTTATAACTTGCATCAGAATAAAGACATCAGGAGTTTTATTGTCCCTTCTGACCATCTCCAAAATTGTTTCCATTACCTATTATGATGAACAAATATCAAAAGTTAGCACATAATTAATGGAGAAAAAATTAAAACAAAAATGATGATTCGATTGTTTCGTCAAATTATAAATCTAAAATCAGAAAAGGAGACAACAAATGCTACAATAGATAGTTTAAAATAAGTCCCATTTCAATAATCAAATGTTCAAAAAATTAAACATTCAGCATCCTCAGCCAACTTTCTAGATGTGATTCTTCCATTTCATCTAATTCTTTGAACATGCTGTGCTAGACTTCAAAATGGTATCAGTGACCTTGGGGAGTGGTCAGCTATCTTTCAAGGCATGAAGTTAACCCAGCCTGACGGCATAAAAGGGGTTGTTCTAGAGTCAAACATGGAACGGGTTCTAAGTAAGGTAGTGAACCATGGTGCTTCACAGTCTACCCATATCTCCTGCATCTAGTTGAGCCATGCCACCGCATATTTCTGAACAGATTGAAAGCACAGGGAACTATATCTGGGACTCTAGCCCTACATTTGTCCCCACGTTTGGGGTTTCTTAGTTTGGGCTTGTAAATCAAAGGTAAACGCAGCGGATGAAAAATTATGGTCATACCTTTATCTGCAGAGTCTGAATTGAAGGATCTTGTGGGTAAATCACGTGCTACCTGAATCTGATCAATCAACCTAGCAATGGAGTGATATTACTGAATGAATATCACCCACACAAGTCACAATGCAAAATGGCTCTTGATCGTTGTATTTTCGGAGAGAGTCAGTATATGGGTAAAACCTACGACATACGTTGTTTTTCTCTTAATCACCCATATCCCATATCATATCAGATATATAGGATAATATCACATCTATCCATATCAGCTAATATGATAGATATGGATATCCTGAGTGGTTATCCAAATAGGTTTTGAATTCAAATTCAAACTTATTTGGATAAGGTTCAAAAGGTTCAAAGAAGGGTCAAGCCACATGGGCGCCCAATTTCTAACATCTCCCACTCGCACATGAGTTGGCATGACACTGCCACATCTCTATCTTAATCTCCCCAAAAATGAACAATCTCATACTAGCCAATGCACCGTGCGACTACTGAGAACACCTGAATGTGGGAGCTCTATACTAGAAACTCAAAATGAGCCAGCATAGAGACATCAACCCAAAAAGAACAGAAATAGTGTCTCATATACCCCAGACCCATCTAATTACACCGGTCCAAAAAACATCTCTAATCCCTCAAAAAGAGCATGTTTGACCCTTTCAATTCTTGCAATATATTCACACTCAATCCGCCTCTCATACAGAGCGATGTGAGTTGCCGACAGTGAATATACAATAGTGGTGTAATACTAGATGATCTTCCCTTTGCCCTCATGTCATTTAGTTTAGGATTGACCGCTTTCCCAGTAATGTCCCTTAAAGCCGAATCATACATGACCGCAGGTAACATACCAAAGTAGCAGAACATTAACCCCTTACCTTCTGACATAGTCAAAAGTCACAAAATGGTACATAAATGAAAGTCATATCAGTAATGACACATAAGACTCACACGGTGAGGA